AACCCACATTAACCTACACAGCTTTGTGTGCAGATACACTGTTACACAGATACACAAATACAGGATTTCGAAAACAAGTTCTCAGTTTTATGATCAATACGAATAAAAAATCTAAATCAGTTTCCGCGGTGCACGGTGCTTCTTCTCCCATTGGCAAGCAGGCAATACGCGTGTGCTAAGCTCGTGCCAATATTTGCGTTATTTGCGTTATTTGCCAGGTTTCTCCATTTAAAGCGATTACAACTTGAATTTTGCTAAGTTTCCTTGATATTTTTATTTTTTTGATTTTAGCTTTAAATGCAGAAAGCATTTAAAACTGACACTGATTTTTACTATTTTTATATCTTGTTTTTTTTGCAATGAGTTTTTATTTTTTTGATGCCTGAAGAGATTTACATGCACGCAGCATCCGAACACTGTCAAAAATACGCATATTCCTCTGTTGGATACAAGAAATCGTTATCCACAACTCTGGAGGGTTACTCTATTCAGCGTGGCAATATGCGTGTCGTTTTATGTGCTCTTAGCAGTGTGTTTTATAGCAAATAAAGGAACCACTACAGCCATTGACATGGACACAAGCAAGGCATATACTTTGTTTTAAGTTGGCTACCGTGAACCTGAAGCCGAATCCGAGTCCAACTCCAAGTCCGAATTCGATGCTATAGCTAAAAATGTAAAAACTAAATCATTATTACCTTAACTTAAAACCAAATGAGATATTCTGCCAATGTATCTGCATTGACATGGCAGCTGCGGCCCTTGTCTCAAGCTTTTTGTATACTTAATTTTTATTTCGTTACGTTACGGTTACATTTAAAATTGTGCTTTTGTTGCGGAGAACTTTTGTGTTTAATTTTTATTATTGTCTGTGGTAATCACAGATTTTTCTGATTCTGATATTCTTTTTGTAATTACTTTGCACAGTGGCAGGGCAGACTAAGGACGTACTGGTACTGCGACTGACCTATAATTACCGCAGCTTCTGTAAAACAAAATGAAATAAAATCTTGGGAAAAATTAGTGTAATTTTTGTTATTATTTCGTTTTCTACGCAGATACACGTACGAACCCGCATTGAGGACGCCACGCCGAACTCGAATTATTCCGCAACCATAAAATATTCATAAATTATGAAACATAATTACAGTGGCGCATGCAGCACAAAATTTTTTGTATTAGAAGATTCTTTTGGGATTAATTGCTTTTTGTAATCATAAAAAATTAAGTAAATAAGAAATTTAATGAGAAATTAATTTGTCTTACATTATTATTCTGTTCCGTCTTAATCGTTAAGTACTAGAAACAGCAGTAGAAGCGATTTTTATTCTGAAATTTAGTTCGTACCGTCATGGGTTGATGGGTTGCTTGTGTTCACATTTGTTTTAATATCAGATAAATAAAAGACATATCTTTATAAGCTATATTATATACCATGAAATTATTATATTAACATATTTAGAACTGGAAATATTATGAACATAAAGTAATAACTATGAACATTTGTATGCACAAAAATTTTATTTTATTGTATATATAAAAGTTAAATATATCCAAATAAATATATAAATATACATATATATGAAATATCTTGATATAAATAAGACAGCTTCAAATACAAAATATGAATTTTGTATCTTTGGAAAACAAAATTAAATAAACCAGTTAAATATTATGAATCGAGTAACAATATCATCTGTTACAGGGATCATCTGCGCAAAACAAAATCAAAGAGTAATAACATTTTAATATATAAGGTTAATAGAACCAAAAATAAATGACACAGTTAAATATCTCCAATCGAGATACAACATCTTCACATGCGAGGATTATCTACCCAAAATGGATAGACAGAAAAATGGATTGAACCATATCTTTGCATGCAGGGATCATCTGGTCAAAATGGGACCTAAAAATAAGTATCTTTTATAGAAAAATAAAATCAAATAGCATAATTAAATATTTTAAGTCGATATATTAAATTGAATTTTAACATGTAAGGTTAATCTAACTAAAACTAAATAAATCAATTAAATATCTGATATAATATTTAAGAACATGCAGATAATGACATTCAAAGTTTATTTGTTCAAAGTCGAAACCAATACAAAAATTTTGTAAGTTCTTCAAATAAAATTTATTACAAAAAAAATTAAAGTAATTCACCCACAAGGATCATTTATCTAAAATTGGGCCTGAGAGATATATATAAGGTCAATAAGTAAAATTTAAAAGTCAATGAAGAGAAAATCAAACTCCTTATCTTTTCCCACACAGGAGATACCTAAGAAAAAAAAACTATAGTAGTATTAATAAAATAAGTGAGTTATTCTTGAAGAGTCAATAAGTTACTTCTAATAGTTATAACACTATCCCTGAAGAATGTTTATTAAGCTAACAATTAAAAACTATTGCCAAATTTAATACTATCGAATGATTAAAGATGCTAAACCTCAATCCATTAAATGATTCCCATATGAAAGCACTGTGATCGTTACAGAATCTGCATTATAGAAGTCTTTTAGTTCCATTATAAAAAGAAAAAATTTAACAGAAGTATATCAAGTTAAAAAACCAGTCATTAATCTGAATTCAGTTTTATTCAGTCTGAGTTCAGGCTGACAATCATGTCATATTTGTTTTAACTCGACTAGGTCTTTTAGATTGCCTTTAGCTTTTGAAATTCGCCAAACCTTCTCAAATAGTTTATAATATATTCTTTCATTCTTAGTACTGGTACTGGTGTATATCCCATAAAAGGTTTCAATCCTGTAAAGGAAGTAGGCACATCTACTTATAAACATTAATGTTACTTTACTTTTACCTTCTACGAGCAAGAGGTAGAGATAGAAGTTATACAACTTCCAATTTGGATTTGGTGATTTCGTATTAAAGAAAATTTTTAGCTGCCATGTTATACAAATTTATAATATTACTGACATTTTTATATTTAACTTATTATAAACCACGGCTTCAATGTCATCTACTGTTATTTGTTCATCGAAATGGCTATGTTAAATTTTGATCTATTGTATTAACTGTGTTTACCTCCAGTCTTGACTCTAATTGGAAAAAGCAATTATGTATTTTTATTTTTTTGTTATAAAAATTATACTTTTCATTAAACGTAGCAGTTATTGTTTCAATAATGTGCTGAAGGGGTTATTTTTGACCCAGAAAAACAATACATTATATATAGGAGACATACCTGAAACCTGAGGTTTACAGGAAAGTTTTATTTTGATTTGCTTTGCTAAAATCAGAAATCCAGTTAAATTTAATGGATATTGATTCTAATAATTATTATATATATAATTATAATATAATTATATAATAATTATAGAATAATGTGATTCAAAATCAATGAAAGATATCTAAATTTATGTCGATATTGGCGACTATAGTTTTGATGATCCTCACTAGCTATGACAAAATGAAAAAATTTTTTGAGAGTAAGGTTAGTAATATCTTTTGAATGGCTGGAAAGAGCAGCTCAGAATGATTGGGATAATACAATTACCTGCAGACAAGCAAAAGAATCCATGCCGTTTCGATCAAAAGCCAGAACTAGGGAGCTACTTATGCTGAACAGAAGTGGCATCCGACTTGTCACAGGTTTTCTAACTGGACACTGCGGAGTTAAAAAACATTTATTGAATCTAGGTATTACTGGAGACGATAGCTGTAGACTTTGTTACGAAGAGAGGAAACAGCAGAACACATATTGCGTCACTGTGATAGTCTTGCAAGACTCAGACTTCGCTACTTATCCATTGCCTATCCGCTTATAACGGAATTAGGCAACATCTCTCCAAAGGACATACTGGCATTCTTAACTGCTACTCGTCTATGGAACTGAAGTGGGTATGTCACAATAATCCTCAAGGATGCAGTGACGCGGAGACTACTTCCCAACTCTTCTTTTGGAAAAAAAAAAAAATGTTAGTAATAAAATAATTTTTATTATTATGTTTAAAAATCACTTATTTGAAAAATGTTCTATATAATTTATTGTTATATTTCAACAATCAAGTCACGCAATCACTACTGTATGGAACCATATCAAGATATCTGAAAATGATCTGCTAATTGTTACAAGATATAAAGTTTTGTTTTATTTACAATACAATAAATTATTATTTTCTTTTATGAAGTAATTATAATAATTAAATATTGTTACACATTTCTCCCCACTGTGTTACATAATAAAAAATATTACCCATGTTACTGTAAATAAATTTAATTTTTTTTGAAGTAAAATCTTTCAATGCAAGCAGTGCATATTAAATTATCGCTTTGTTATTGCTGATCTTCTTAATATAGATACGAATAGCACGGCAACAGTGTCAAATTCTTTGAATGGCTTAGTCTTAAAGTAAAATATGGAAGATACATTTGTACGTACACATGTGGATATTTGTGTTTTGTATCTTTGCAACTGCCTATCTCATAAAAATAGACCTTCACCCCTACTTGTATAGCTGGAATGCTAATTAGCAAACACACTTATTTGTAGGTCGTATAATAAAAAATTGCATATTAATAGAACACACAATACATTCACGTAGCAAGTGCATTTGCGGACAAAGAAATAAAAAAATGCATAAATTTTCTGCTCTACGAATTTTGATTTCATTATCATTTCATTATTAAACACCTTTTATTTGAGTATGAGAAAAACCTTTTCCAAAAACGTTATAAAATCGTTTAAATAAAAAAATGCAACAAAATCGAATGTAAAACACATGCTATTCTAATTAATTAACCGTAAGGTAAAGTCTGGGACGTCTGACAACCTTGAGATCTATTCGAAATCAATGGCGCGCGGTAAGTGAAATTCATACACAAAGATATAATATATATGCCTTATATATTTTCATTAAATATTTTATATTGTAAGACATAGATACAAATACACAATGTATTATATAGTATAAATTTTTTTTTTTTGTAAGTTTAATGAATTTGTTGATTGTATGCAACTTCGTAATTCATGATACCTATATAAATATAAAATACGTTTTAGTTGAAAAAATATTAAGTGTAATTTATCGTCTAGAACATTATAACATTTATGTTTTGACATTGAAGATATCTTCAACAACGCTCATCACGTATATATTATTTCACTTTTTTTTGTCACAATCAACAAAAAGTACAAAAACAATTATTGTAGCTAGAAATGTATTAGACAGTTGTTATTATATTATATTTCTCTTTATTAATATGATGTATATAAGAAGCAATGTGTTTATACATTAGTTTGGAGCACCAGTATTTAGAGTTTCCAGACAAAATTTATAAATTTTTTTCAAAAACAGTTCAATCAATTTAAATATGTATAGATTACATATTGATATATTATATTTATATTAAATATAAAATGAAATATTAAATAAAAAAAACTTTTTAAAGTTTTTAGCAATTTACAACTACTTTATGACCTGAGCCATTATATTTTTATTGCAAACTTTCAAATTTTTCTCTTTAAAATTTTCTTCCTGACTTCAAAAACTTTTAAACTGAAACTTTGAAAAACTAATTTAACACTAACTATAATGTGATATGAAGTTCAAACCAAATGACAATAATGACAATTTGGAGAGTCGATTTCAGATACTATTGTATGTATACCAAAAATTCCTAGTCAAGCGGTCTCAGTATATTTCAACCACA